TGACTGAGTGAGTGCGTGTGTGTGTCAGTGTGCGTGTGTGTGACTGAGTGAGTGCGTGTGTGTGTCAGTGTGCGTGTGTGTGACTGAGTGAGTGCATGTGTGTGTCAGTGTGTGTGTGTGACTGAGTGAGTGCGTGTGTGTGTCAGTGTGCGTGTGTGTGACTGTGTGAGTGCGTGTGTGTGACTGAGTGAGTGCGTGTGTGACTGAGTGAGTGCGTGTGCGTGACTGAGTGAGTGCATCCTCCCCACTTCACAGTGACGGCTAATTAAAAGCACTTCTTTATTCTTGAAAAGAGTCCCACCCCCCCAGTGCTGCACGTGCAGGCTTGGCGCTGCAGGCTGAGCTCCTGAGGCTCCCGTCAGGAAGCCACTTGCCAAGCCACGCTTCAGGAGGCCCTCGGCTGCATTCCTGCTGCTCTACTGTAAAAGGGGCACAAAGCGAAGCCGCACCGGTGCCTCCGCTGGGCCGACCGTGACGGGCGGCCCTTGGGCCTGCTCACGCATGTCCGCTCACGCTCTGCTCTCCTCCACATGAAAGGAGAGGCTCCCTCTGTTGTCTACACAGCACCTAGCGTGTAATATCCTGTAGCAGTTTAGAGCGTTTCGAGCAGATCCCCCCTGCAGGTGTTGGCTCTGTTCAATCAGAGAGCCGCACTGATGTCTTTTCCTGAGACGCTGGCAGCGTGTCTGTGATTTTAGAGGATCAGTGCTGCTCTTTGACACAGATACACTCTTGCCAAACCTTGGATCCCCACTATAATCCTTGAATCACAGTTCGCTTTATTTGTTCTCTATAATAACTCAGGGTTGCCAACTCTCACGCATCTGGTGTGACACTCGCGCTTTCAGACTCATGCTCATGCAAGAAATCTTACGACAAAAATATATTATTCCATTATAAACCTAAAATTGGCTTAAAAGCATTGAGGCAGTTTACAAACCCTACAGATGATTTACAAGGTAATAAAACTGTTATATACATATAAATGCGTTTGCATGCGTGTGCAGATTAGTCTCGAATTGAAAATCCCAAGACCAAAGTTGGCAGCCCTGCCTAACTATTCCCACTAAGGAATGGCTTTGAGCTTCTTCAGCATGAACCATCAGTCACTAATAAGTACTCAGCTATGTATACATACCAGCCAATACTCCCAGTTTCCCTGGGTTTCCCCTGATTTTACACCTCCACTCCCACTAAACTCCTGATTTACTACTTTTCCCAAAAATCATCCACACCTTGACAATCACAAAAAATTTACAGTTGATAGAGTAGCACAGTTGGTAGAGTACCAAGCGCTTAACTTGAAGATATATGGTTTGAATATGGCCATAAAAGTTCCCTATTACATGTGTTTTGTGGGGTAGGTCACCGTGCCTATGATGGGAAAGTTGCCAGTTCAAATCCCATGATCGGTAGAGTAGTTGCGTCACTGTAGGGCCCTTAACCCCAAAGAGGAAATGGCTGACCCTGTGCTCAGACCCCAACCTTCATTCCCACCTGTATATGTGTATGTCTATAAAATGGGATTATGTCACACAATGGGATGTGTGAAAATTCAAGAATTCCTTTGAACCTGTACATCTATAACTAATGCATAATTTCATTTTTTAAAATAGTTTAAACAGTTTATACTTACAGAAGTATATTGTATATTTTCACAACTGACTACGCAAGAAAACCACCATAATCCATTTTGAACATTGTGTATTTTCATATGTTAAAATCCCCATTTAGATATTTTAGTATGAATCAACATAACTAATAAAGGTAGCATTCATTGATGGCCCTCGGCTTGTATTTTTACAACCTGTATCGTATCTATGCCCACTTACCCTCTACACTCTCCAATGAAAGCTGCAGTCCAAGGTTCCGACCCGGGTTGAGAACCCAGTGGTTGCTGGTGGCGGTGATGTCAAACACCAGCCAGCCTTCCTCTGCTGCCCACATGACGCGCGAGTCCAGGAGAAACAAGTCTGATTCCCTACAACAAGCAGGGGAAATAGAAAGGTGTGCAGACACTAGTAAGTACCTCCAGGGTTGGACAATATGAAAAGAAGGTCCGTTAGGGGATTTGGACATAATGAGAAGACAATGCTCCTGAAACCAGAAAAACAGGATTTAAAACTCCAGGTATCTATGCTAACGATGTCTGTGCAATTTAGCACATCTCGGGTCATATATCACTGCCCAAAAACACCGAAATTTCAGTTATAATGAGATTTACATTCTTGGATTACAATGTAAACATATGTAGTATAAACATCTTCCAGAAACGTACCCCGGGAACACACAGCACATTATAGGCCTGCGTTGCTATGGCAAAACAGAAAAGAAAAAATTCCCGCTACATACAGTTCTGGAAATGTAACTTTAAATAGACACTATGGTGTCACTTTGACAGCAGAATGAAAATGCGACGTTGACGATCCTACTGGGCCATCAACAACAGGGACTGTATGACGTTCAGCTGCTCAAGGCCAACACACTTGCACATTTTGTATCAAGTTTCAGATTGAAGGAGGGGATGAGATGCTGTCACTGTTTCACTTACTTCTGTTCAGTAAACTAAAGTGTTTTATAAAAGACAGACACTGAAGCGCACTTGGCCCTAAGGCTTCAACAGCTTCGCCACCTGTTTGTCGCTTAAACTGACTTTTGAATAGCAACCAAAAATGAGCCCTATTCAGTACCTTGTATTTGAGGGTAAAAGTTGCAATATTCATCAATGAGGAACACATTAGCAGAAGTCGGACAGATTTCAAATCTAAAGGTTAGCAAGCGCTGGGGGTACAAAACGGGAGGAAAGTACGGTAATAAAATGGCGAGTGAGACGGGCGAGAAAGGAGAAAGAAACCGAAGGATGGATGGCAGAGGGTGGATGGAATCAGACGACTCCAGATGGTGAGACGAGCACTTCATCAGTCCCAGAGGACCACTTCATTTCCTTAATTGACAATAATGGCCTCATAAACGACTCTTGGTTTCATAACGAACAAGCAGCCCCAGCAGTAAATCACCAGCAGGAATTCTGGGGGAGTACTGGCCCTCCGTGAAGACAGAACCACAGCACCACAGAAGGAATCTGAGCCCGTTCATGACTGCCTGCAGTGGCTCTGTCTTCATGGATGCTTTGCTCGAAGCCCTCTGGACACCTGATGCTACTATTCATGCCAAACTATACATATAGATACCAATAAGGAGGAATTACGATGTTGTGCTTTATACGTATAAGGCATTAATTAAACATAGTGTCTGGCTGTAAGCCTGAAACTCCTTGGAGATTATTCATGAATGTCATGTGCCTTTGATCTAGACTTGGAAATGCCCATCTTCATAAAGCACGGGGCCACAGCCCTTTCTAACAGCACTGACATGCAGTTAAGGGCATTACTTTTGGTACGGTACTTTTGCATTTCCATTGACTTCTGGTCGAGTACCAGTACCAAAAGTTCCAGTTCCTAAAGTACAAAATCAGCTGGGGTACTTCTTTAGTACTTCGGTACTTTGGGGTGGGACTTGAAAGGCTTTCTTTGTCGATCGGTTATGCAAATAACCTGCCGCTGAAACGCAATACAAACGCAGCCCTGAAAACAGTTGCAAACTCAGAAAATAATGATAAATGAAGTAAAAAAAAAAAAAGTGATTCCGTCGTAAGAACATGCGGATGGCATAAGAAATTAAAAAGCATTTTGTTGAATATATTATTTTGTTATAAATATAGCAAAATGGTTTTACTGTAATAAATATTGGGGTATTTATCAAACAAAAAAAAGAGTTACTTTCATACCCATCTTCGAGTGATTTAAACAGCTAGGATTAAAATGATTACAATTGTCTTGGAGAACGTATGCAAGCGCTCATGCAAAGCCAGGGAGGTAAAATACAAATTGATTTTTAAACATATAATAATATATAAAAGGGACAATAACTAAAATAGAAAGGGCGGCACAGTGGTTAGCGCTGCTGCCTCACAGCAAGAAGGTCCTGGGTTCGGTCCCTGGGTCGGGTGTAGGACCTTGCTGTGTTAACATGCTCTCCCCATGTTTGTATGGGTTTCCAATGGGGGCCCTACTTTTCTCTCACAATCCAGAAGTGTGTGCGTTAGGTTAATTGGCGACTCTAAGTTGGCCCCGTGAGTGTGTGTGCCCTGTGGTGTGTTGGCAGCTACCCAGGGCTGGTTCCTGCCTGCGCCCGTTGTTCCCAGGATAGGCTCCGGTGACCCCAGTTGGGATTAAGCGGTTATGGTGATGGATGGAATTAAAATAGCAAAGCTTGTTACGTTTTTTTCCGGCAACAGAGTAAAAATATTTTAACGAAACTTTAACCCCCACGCTATAATGTCCATACAGAATTGAAAGTAAGAAAAGGCCTTATTTTACTACAGCTGACTAGTGATGTAAGAATTGGATGTGCATACCATGCGATGTTGGTATTAATATCACACGTCGTCCAGTCCTACTACAGCTATTTTTCGAATACAGTACAAAATACCCCGCCTTGCGTTGTGATGTCATCTGGCGCCAGTTCCAGTTTTTACGGAAGTGTAAAAGCAACACCTTGAAGTACTGTACTTTTGGTACTTTCTCAAAGGGCCTGAAGTACGGTACTGGGTGCAGTGGAAAAACGCCCTAAGATGCCTCTTAAAGAAGGAAACTGAAGATTGGGGAAGTGAGATAACGACTTGTATAAAAATGCCAACACATCCCCTTAAGTGCTGTTTTACAATGAGACCACAGAGAGGGAAAAAAAATCTGTAAAATATCATTAATAACTCCTGTGATGTGACTGTAACAGGTGATGAAGGAACTACATCATGTGATTAAGAGCAGCACATCTGCTGGGCTCTCACCTGTCTGAATGCTCCTCCAGCACCTGGTAAACACGGACGCGGAAGGTCTCGTTCTCGAAGCGCTCGTGCACAAAGTCCTTGTAGATGCGGAACTCTGCGGCGGTGACAGCCTCACCCTCAGGGATCCGGGACAGGTCGAAGCGGAACTCACGGTGATGCCGCCGCACGGGCAGGAACTCGCGGTCATGCTCCACTGGCGAGAGAGACGCACATTAGGGAACTTAGCTGGAGATTTTAATCACATTGGTCACACTGAAAAAAACCTTTTAAGCATTAATTACCCAGCGGTGATTTGCCCGAAAGTCGCATTCCTTTATAGACCAAACTGGGAGATCTTTCTGTTGTTCTTATATGACTTTAGACTAAGAAATATAACTCAGAGGGTTAGGGTTTCTAAAAATGTTTTGATATGTACACTTGGATTCAGGCATAGCTATTTTTGTTAAGGGCGGTGCAGTGGTTAGCGCTGTTGCCTCACACCTCTGGGACCAGGGTTCGAGTCTCTGCCAGGGTTCCACGTGTGCGGAGTTTGCATGTTCTCACTGTGTCGCTGTGGAGCTTCCTCTGGTTTTCCCCCATAGTGCAAAAACATGTTGAGATTAACTGGAGTTAACAAATTGCCCGTAGGTGTGTCTGTGTGAGTGGATGGTGTGTGAGTGTGCCCTGCGATGGGTTGGCGCCCCATCCTGGGTTGTTCCCTGCCTTGCATCCGTAACCTTGGGGATACAGGTGCAACCCTGAATAGGATCTGCAGTTAATGAAAACGGATGGAGGGACGGATGGATCGTTTTGTCTCTTTCAGGGGAGGGTCTCATCCTTTTCGTCTCATCCTCTCTTTCTTGGGGTTGCCCCTTCACATCTCATAGGCTCCCCGCTCATCATTTCTTTTTCATCTTTTCTGTCATTCCTCTAATTCTATGGCCCAAATAATCAGTCTCTCTGACCCAAAGCTCATTCAGGCAAAGAGGCTGCCCCCCCCCCCCAAATGTCCTCTGCCTGACCCCTGGGATTCACCGTATCCTCTTAAATGTGCACAACCTTTACCTACAGGCAAGTACGTGAACCAAAAAATCAAACAATGGCATTTTGGATTAAAACATCTGGACAGCTTAGAATAAAATTCACTGCACTGCGGCAAAGCCTTTGGTAACAGTAATGAGACGTGATTAATCGATTGACTGAAAGCCTCCTGATTCTCCCTTTCCCCAGTCTTTCAGCAGTCTTTTATCAAATCGACATTGGATTCTGACTAGTTCTGGCAGCACCGCGAACCTTTTTATCTCTGTCAAGGCCCTCGAGCTGGAGACGAACAGAAGGATACTTGTTGGCCGTCCTGCATTTGTTCAGTTATCTGAGAAAAACCTTTGAACGTCCTCCGTCATAAAGCAACTAATTCGATGTGGGTGAGCAAATCGGACAGAACAAGATCTCAACATAATCAAACAAAATCAAACATAAAATCTAGTTTAAAGAAGCGGACATTCTTTTAAATTAAATGTGTTCAGTGTATCCAGTTCAGGGCGTTTCTGAATGACATTTCCCTGTCTGTTGCGGTCCCTCCTTACACACTTACACAAAATCACACACATGCACACTCTCTCTCTCTCTCTTTCTCCCTCTTATTCTATCCCTCGTTCTCACAGAAAGGCAGTGCGGCACAAAGACTGCACTGTGAGCATCGAGCAGGGGAAAGCATGGATCTAATTACTTTTCAATGGGGGACAGGTTTCTGTTCACGATTAGCGAAGGCCTTTCGTGCCTATTGTCCCAGACTTCTCAGGGCACTCACATTGTTTACACACCGTTTGCACTAAAGAGTGCCCCTCGAAACCGACCCAGTGGACCCTGCCCCTTGGGACGCTCAAAACGGCCGTCCCAACAGTGGAACTGCCACGTCAATAGAGATCTGCGGCGCAGCCCCTTCTGCGGTTTCATTAAATGACAGCACACTTCTTCCACTTCACGTTTGCTACACTATAAGCCGCAGAAAATCCCCACGTGACCCGTCTTCATTTCAAGGTCCCTATTAGGCACTTGCTACAATCACACTGGCACGGCCGCTGTCAAGACTCATCGGCCTCTTAAATGCCTCAACACGCAGCGTTCAGTGACTTCTGGAGGAATTTTTTGGAATCCCTTCAGCCAAAGAACAATAAGCTTTTTTTCGTATTTTTAGAAATTTTATTACAAAAAAAATCCAGATTCATGGTGGGAGTTCAGTCTTTTTTTTCTGAAATCATTAGCCCATCCTTAACATGCTTCCCGAACATCAAAGTAAACAACTGAGTTTTACTACTCATTCGGCATGTAGATCAAACAGTCCCTCCCCAACTCACAGATGGAAAAACACAAGTGCTGTTCCATTTCCCTGATAGTGTTTTATGGATGACGTCCACCAAGCTGTCACAGTCTCTATCCCACTTTACTAAAGATACTTCCTGGAATGTGTTTAAAGGTTTCCAAACATGCAAGCCACTCCTTATTCATTCAGATCTCAGCTAAATGAAATCATCTGTGTTCCTTACACTAATTTCCGTGCGTTTTCCAGTTTTAGCAGGTACACTTTCACGTTCGTTTTGTCATGCGACCGCAACACATTAAATCAGCACAGGAAATGCAAGCAGTTTTTTTTTTTACTTTTTATTTTTATACCAGTGTCTGGCTTTAGCCACATTGTTTGTGCGTACGTGAGAGCTCGCCCTGATTGGCCACAGATGGGAAATCTGCATCTCGCTGGCTCACACTTGTTCCCTCTTCCTGAAGTATGATCAACTAGGCCGTATATGCTGTAAATAAGGTCCTGCGAATGAGGATGCTGAGACTGTGCTGGGACAGGGACCCCCAGCCCCCGTGGTGACATCCAGCAGCACCCTGTGCCTGGACCCCCCCCTTATCCGCAGTAAGTGTGCTCTCTCTCCCGAGCGCCGCATCCTACCCAGTCCAGTGCAGGTGCAGACTGTGGCGGAGGAACACAGACCTGTTCTTGCAGCGCAGGGAGCATTAGGCCCCTTAATCTCCCAATCCGCCCCTTCACATTAAAAGCGCTTTATCTGGACTTCAGAGAACAGCTGGCCGCAGCTGTGAGTCTCCTGGTAACCCTTTCCTTCCCTCCCTCCCTGCGCTGCACTGCTCAGCTGTTCCCCAAGTCTGCCCCCCTGACTAAAGTGCCCCCTCCACCCCCACCACTGAAGTGTGGCAGAGCACAGCCTTCATTTCTCCGAGGTCCTTGGAGTTCACGACACACGTGCACATATGGGGGCTACATCGCACGCGGCCCGCAGATTCATCTAAACACCACCAACTTATCCATTTAATGCGTTTTGCCATTTTCTAACCTTGTCTGTTCATTTTCCATTTTTCATGCCCTACCAACCCATCCCCCCAACATATGACCCCAGTCATCTTAAACCTCATCTGCCCCCCCCCCCCCCACGCCATTCCTTTCTTTGCATCCACCCCCCCTGTACCCCTCTCCCGGCTGAATCCCATTAACAGAGTATGGCAGTAATTAGGAGCTAGGCAGAGGCGCAGTTAAACACAAATGGCTACGTTTATTGCTTCCTCTGAGAGGAAACGGGCAGCCATCATCGCGGTCGCCCTACATGCGCTAAATAAACATTTCGGAGAGAGCACAGGTCTTAAACAGTCGCCAGGAGAAACGCAAGCCGCGGCATTCATAACCCTGTTCGCTTTCGCCCTTCCATCGCTCTCCTAGTCACCCTGATCTCAGTGCAGGTCTGGCCTCCAAATGAAGTGGGTCCAATTCTGAAACACCCCCTTGCACTTAAACTGTTGTCACTGAGATGTCATCGATAGCCGCATTTTACCTTCAGCTCCTACCAAATCCAAATGCTCACCCTTAGGAGATTCAGTTCAGCCACGGCACCCATTGCAAAACCCTCCTTGTTTTATTGTTATCTCCTGCAGCTTCAGCATGGCCGCTCTGGGCCACCGTTCCGATAGCAAAGGTGCTGCCATCTCGACATATTTACATATCTTGTAAACTGGCACTTCTCTGCACAGCTGTGGAGGCTCACGGCGAGGTGACGTGGTTCTTCCACCCACGAACCCCCCCCCCCAGGAAACATGAAAGCTAATATGGTTCATTCACACCAGAGACGTGCACCACTGTTTACTATGTAAATCATCTAAATGAGTATGAACATCACATCAGTCAGGAGACATCCTGCTCATTAAGGTTCGTCTCTGAAGCCTGATTAGAAACACTCACTACTACAGCTACTGTATATATATAGACAGCCTCAATCCTCCTTGAAAGTCAGCAGCTGTGCTGTCGCACCAACCAGTAACTTTTTAACAAAAACTATAATCCAAAGATTGCATTGGTAAAAGTCGGTTCGCTTTCTAAACCCATCCAGTCAGTATCTTCAATCTCTCATAAATTTACTTTGGGATCAATAAAGTAAGTATCATCCATACATTCCTCTATACAACTATCTATAAACCACATTGAAAGAAATATCTTACTGGACCTTGACACATGGACAGCGGGGCGACTACAGCTGCCAGATTTATAAATTGACTGAAGACACACAAAGCCCCCCAAAGGGATGCAGACACAATGCTAGGCTAAGCAGCTCAGGAAATAATGATGAGGGCAGGCTAATCGCCTCTGTCCTGGTGGGGCGACCTCTGCTGTGAGGGGACTGGGCTCTTCCTGATAGCCCCCCAGGCTGAAGCGCTAAGACTGTCCCCCAACACCTTGCTGACCAGGCAGGTGACACAACACATTAGCACGAGTGTCTGTCCTGAACTGTGGCACCCACACTCCCTGGCCTCTTGTTTCCGCTTCCCTGCAGGGAGGGCACCGCACTTTCCCCCCCTCTCTCCCCAGTGCCCTTCCCTTAAAAAACAACCGTGGCCTTACAGCGGAGGGGCTCACAGCCACTCTGGAACGAGTGCAAATAAAGCCACTGGTCAGTGAGAAGGCGGAGTTAGGCTACAGTGGTGGAATCAAGACGTCTTGCTTGCGGTTTTTGGGAATTACAGAGCAGGGCAGTCCTCAGGCTCTGAGTGGAAACGATTTTAAATTCGGCACCACATCCCCAACCTCTTAACACTCACGAGGAAGCTGTATGAATCAACTTTCCTGTGTTTGCAGAGTAACCCCTGAGGACCACTTGCATTCCTATAAGTCGGTTCACTTTGTAAACCCACCCGCTTCGAAAGCTT